AGATCGGAGGAAGACTCCTTAACAACCTATTTTTGCATATGACGCCACCACCTTCCTTGCTGAAATGGCAAAGGCCCTGAAGCACTTACTGATGAAAACATGAAACAAAAACTCTCACAACCGGACCAATTAGCAACATCATGCTAAATAAGGAAAATATTGGTTGTCAATTTCTATTTTGATCCACAATCAACACCCATGGAAGCAGCAGTTAAACATGGTATTGTTGCACTGGTGATTCCCCTGCAAAACACCTCTTGAAAGTGTTCAAAAGGAATGATGCCCATTTGAGAACTAAAGTGCGCTTGACTCAAGCCATGGTATTTTCAAACACCTTACATGGACAACGAATGAGGACCACTGAAGAACTGGTGCATTTGATTCATGGTGTTGTATATACCATGGGCTGCCAGAACAAACAAATCTGTCTTGGAAGAATAGCCAGCGCTCTTCCTTAATAATGAGAATGGCAAGACTTCTTTGGACATGTTCTCAGGAGGGAGCAGTCCCTGGAGAAGGGCATCAAGGGTGGCAAAGTGGAAGGGCAGCAAAAACGAGGAAGACACTCACAACAGGGATATATTGATACAGTGGCTGTAACAAGGGGCTCAGACACAGCAAGGACTGTGAGGTGGCACGGGACTAGGCAGTATTTCCTTCTGTGGTACATACAAGGGATAGCCTCTCCAAAAAAAAATAAACAGGAATTTTTTTTCAAAGCTATGTATTTAATTTTTTTTACAAAACAACCTTATCACCTTCAAAGTACTATTACACTTAATACACTTGTCAAATCTGATTCCATTCTTGGAAACATGTTTCCAACTCATCTGTTTGCATGGCTTACATCAAGTACCTCCCTCATTTTATTCTTCACCTCTTCTATGTCACCAAATGGCAGTCTTTTCATGTTCCTTTTCATTCACAGAAACAAAAAGAAGTCGCATGGAGCGAGGTCAGTTGAGTCAGGTGCATGGGGCAAGAGAAGCATGCTGTTTGTTGGCAAAACCTGAAGCACTGAAATTGCTGAGTGAGCAGGTGCATTGCTGTGGTGGCAAAACCAGTCCCATCTCCCATAAATCAGGTCTTTTTGTTGCCCACTGGTATGCATTCTTTTCAGAACCTCTAAATAGAAAGCTTGATTAACAGTCTGACCGGGTTGAATGAACTCCAAATGCACTATGAGTTGACATTTTTGTCCGTTTGGGAAGATGACGGACGCCAAGAACAAGGTTTGTCCCAATCGACATTTCACTTTTTAAAACTAGAAAACCACTCATATACTTGAGTTTTTCCCATAGCACTGTCCTTGTAAGCTATGTTCAACATCCCAACAGTTTCTGCGGCATTTTTTCCAAGCAGAAGTAAAAAATTAAAAATTTTCACAGCTGCACTGTTCTCTTAAATAGGCCATCAAAATATGACGTTTAAGCAAAACTGCTTTTACAAAAAATGTTCACTGTGAGCAGACAGCCTTCCCAGGTGACGCCGCTGGATGCTCTAACTCAGAGCAAGCTGCTGGGTGCTCACCTAGTGGGAAAAATGCATACGAAAGCTCCGCCCAGTGCAGCTTTTCCTGTTTGGATGTATGCGGGTCTGTTATGTCAGCGCTGACTTGACCACTTCCGGAAGTTAATTAACTCGGCCTAGGGGTCCGACTGCTCCCAAGTTGATTGACTTCAAGTCAGTTGTCCTCCCCTCCTCTCAGGCAGTGAGCAAACCCTAACTCGACATAATAAAAGTCAAGGGCACTGGGCTTTTTTTTTTTTAATCGTTTTATTAGGGGCTCTTACAACTCTTATCACAATCCATACACACATCGTGTAAAGCGCATTTGTACATCATTCTCAAAACATTTTCTCTC